TATCAAAGAATTGTCACCAAATGGCCCTGTGCCTAAGCTTAATAATTTGTGCAATACTTGTCATCTTTGATGTATAGATACTAGCATTACATAGTAGACTTAGAAAATTACATATTTATAACTTGGTGAATGCAAAAAGCTCTACATTAATCACAATAATACATTCTGTAATATGAGCATAGACTGGAAAATGCTGGCCAGTAAAATAATGTAATTCTACATGTATTATTTAATTTTGGGTGATTCACTAGAATAATAAATTTTTCTTAATGTGATTTAAGAGAAGAATTTGCTCTTTTATGTCTCCATTTTGGGAAGTGGGAGATACTCAACTTTCAGTGTGCTTTTTATTAGCATAATAATAATTTGAAGCTTATGTATTAAAAGTATTATTTATTTGTGTGCTGATACTTGAATAACACTGAGCTGGAAAGAGTGAGTACTATTCTGTTCGTGCTTCAATTGCTGTTGGAACAACTGAATAACAGCAACAAAGGCAACTCTTAATATGTCTAATTTTTTCTTTCAGTTCATGAAAGTGCATCTTTTTCTAAGCAGAGCTGGAGCTAAACTTTATACTTGTATGCAACATGCTCTCCAAAGCCATTTGAAATTTAAGTTCTTAGTCATACAATGACCTGCTAATGTTGCAGTGTAATGATAGCCTTGCTTGTACTATTGTCTTAATGCATGCAAATGAAGATTAAAATAATGTTATCAACTGTTAATGATGCATAATGTTAAAACTGTAATGTCAACTGTAAAGCCTCAAACAACATTTCCCTTCTCCCAACAATAAAATAATCTGCGCTTAGTTATTTTGTGTTCCGTGGATTGCATTTTATGCTAAAATTTCTAGCACATAGCAAAACTACCACCTACACAGACAATTTAAAATGTAAGAATCTACACAGGTCATGTTTTGATTGAAAACAAACCAAAATACTGCAGTCACAGCTTTCACCTAGCTTTTAAAAAGATAAAAGTCACTGCTCTATACGAGTATATAAACGTGAATTTCAATTAAAGTCGCCTGTGAAGAGGTAAATCAGCAAAGTGTACTGATCGACTATGGTAAGTAGGAATTTTTAGAAAATCCACTAAGTAAACAGTGGAGCAAAATCTCCACAGAAAAGCCTTTATATAATCTTGACATTATTAATAAGCCCTCAAACTTTCTGAATGCTGATGTACCATCCCATCTGATGAACAGAGAATGCTGCTATTGAGAAACTCTGCTGTTTTACTCTTGGTCTTCAGATGACAAAAATTTAAGGTCAGAATAGGCTGTTTACATTGGCTACCAAAGAGGGTACAGGAACAGTCAGTTCTTACATCAGAATGGTAACAGTACAGACTGACACTTTATAAACTGTCAAATTCAATTAAAAACTGAACTTTGATATGTACAGAAAGACAGGAGGAAGACTGAGTTCACATTTCACAGTGAAAGACTGATTAACAGGAAGTGAGAGGTGACTTACTTCTGCTGCCAAAAGGTAGGGCAAATCCTTCCCTAGTAACAGTGCTAATTTAGGATTTGCCAGTGGAATTCAAATCCGAGGTTTGGTGGTTGGATGCTTATATATCTTCCTAGAAAAATGGCACAGATCCAAGTCCAAGATGATATGTAAACATATCAATACTCATTTAACAAACTTATTTTCAGCCAAATGTGAACCGACAACATTAACTGTGAAAAGCCACCATGGCAATTGCCTAATGCTAATGCAAGATGATGAGAAGACAGTGCAGAAATTTGTTTAGAAGCATGAAGGCAGCAGCTGCAAAAGTGATGCAAAAATATGAAGGAATGGCTTCTCAGAACTCTTATAAGGACTAGACTAGGAAGACAAAGAGTCAATGATTTATAATGAGGAGGGACATTAGCTAAGCTATGACATGCCACATAAGGCAAAGTTACAAGCCAGCTAAAGTCCATGCTGGTATCTCAGGAAACAAACCAAAAGACACTCCCAGATTAAAATCAAAAGGTTGGTTTACCCTGTTGGACCTTTATCCACAAACTACCCTTCCCTCAGTCAATCCTGTTCTTCCCATCCTCTCATCTCCCTTCCACAGCTGGCACATGCACTGTGCTTCTCCCACCCCAGCCAGCAGCTGTCAAATGCTGCTGCCTCTCCTCAGCAACGCTGAGCTGGTGCAGAGCTGATGTGCTGGGGTTTGAAGAAGGCAGGGGGTCCAGGAAGAATTTATGCAGATATAGGGCAGCCCATACCCCACAGGAAGGATAAAACCATTATCTTTCCTAGCTCCCATGCAGTGAAAAAAACAGGGGAGAAGTTCTACCTCTTCTCTCTCTCTCTCATTCCTCTGAAGTCAAAGCATGTGAGAGACTACCTCTTCCCCACTGGTCCCCTTTCTGAGATATTTAATAATATTGTGACTTAAGTACTGTAATACAGTTATTAATGATGTTAAAAGATTCCCCTGACATCAGTCACTGTGCAAGGATGCTGACTCATTGCTGCAGAAGAACACCTTGAGGACACATTCCAACATCCTCCCTTTGCCAAGATTCAATTTCTTATAAATAGTGCTAAGTAGTGGGAATAGATACAATTGTCAGGAGAAAAATGTAATTACTGAAGAAACAGTGTAAGACCGTGCTAAAACATTCTTGGCATTTGTGAAAAGAAAGATTCTGATGTTTCCATGTTTTAATTTATACATTTGTCCAATTTTGTAAGCTGGGCCTACTGGAGGCTAAAAAGCCTGAAAGAGAAGTGCCTCACTTGACTCAGAACCATTTTTGTATCCTTTTCTATGTGATTAAAATCATCATGGACCATACTAAAAATTGCTTAGATTCAGGAATGTGTATCTCTGTAAAAATTCATACCCTCTATTTAACAACAGCCTGTTGTCTTTCATATAGCTGTTTTAAGCACAGTGGTATTTAGTAGTGTGGTCATTTAATAAATGTTTTTCCCTTCCAGAAATTAAGACACTCGTATTTTATGATGGCCATCACTTACTCAATCTTTCTACTAATTCTATAGGAAATAATTTTATAGATTTTATAAGAATCAGGTAGAAGCTTAATACTCAGGATATCCCTTTCATGCAGGTTCACTAGTGTCTGCCAGCTTCAGTTCCAACAGGATTGTTTGCTGCATGAGTGATTGATAGATACCTGACCTGACGACCAACATGACTTTTCAGCTTTCTGCCGAGTTGCATTCCATTTTTTTTACTTTATCTTACCCTTTATGTCCCTGACAATATGCATTTGCTGTTTCTGTGCTACCTCTGTATTTAGATTATGTTACATGTACAATGCACAGATATTAATTTGATAAGGTTACCAAAACAGGAAGACGCTCCCTAATAGAATATTTAAAATACATCTATCAGAACAGTAGCTAGTTATGAAATTGGGTGGATATGACATTCAATGAGCTCATCTTACTACCTTGTTTTTTTAAAGTTAGTAACAGCCTACCAAAAAGCACTGCTCCTTGGAAAAGAACAATATAAATAAAATTCCCACTAGAGAAGAAGGCAAATTTGCATCTGTACACAGAGTATATTTATCTGTGTGGCTTTTGTTGTTAAAATTTTGATGTTTAATGGTTTATATTTTCAAAGCTTTCTCTGCTTGAAAGACTTTTTTGTCACTAACATTTAGAGTTGAGATTGAAGATTGCTGTTCTATTCTCATAGTGAAATTAATTCCATTTCTTCAAAGAAGTGTTCCATTTCTTCTTTTGAAGGGATTTTTATCTATGGTGGAAGTACAGATTGACAGCACAATGATCATCTTCACTATTCTTACAATCAGCAGCTGTTAACCTATTTTTATCAACAACTTCATTGCTGCAAGAAACACTTTTGCAAAATGTGAATGCAGCTGGTGAAATCATTCCACATGAGCTGTCTTCTCCCTGTGAATTTCTACAAGCAGATTCCAAAAAAACCTCACTTCAGGAAGTAACCAACAGCCAAGTCCCCTCTGCAACACACCAGGCCTCCTTTACTTTCCACTCATATTCCAGGTATGCACAACCCACTCCAGGCATAGACGGGCATCTCCCAGACACATTCATGTCATCCCTCTGGGAGCTTCTGCACCCTCTCTAAGGCCTTTGGTGTGCTCCAAGGTATCCTAGGATGCCACTACTGCATACAGAATCCAAGATAAATGCTCACAACTGGTTTTCCCATATCAGATGCTATCTCAGGTGTCTTTGCTTTCAGATTCAGATATAAAGAATAAAACCAAACCATTTTCTGACTGCAGCAAATACCTAGATCAGTATCACAGTGTCAGTGAGGAAAGGATGGAGTTTCCAAAGTGGAACATGGTATTTGAAGCTCTACTACCCTCTGAGTCTAGAAGCACAGGCAAGGAACACCCTGACTCAGCCTTGCCACTCTAACTACTTGCATCCTTTAGACCTGTCCACAATCAGGACCTGTTGTGCATCAGATAAGTTGTTCTGCTGTATGAATGTGGGCACAGTGCCAAATTATTCCCCCAGAAATACTGAGGAAGGACCAAAAATGACAGTGAAACACTATTGCTTCCAGTGCTCAGACAGCACTAGAAGCCCTTGGCCTATGTAGGGAATACAGCCCAGCCTGCCATTGAGTTCATCCTGTCTGTATGATCTGCCATCTGCTTTTATTTGTTGACTGAGCACTCTCTGCTCTATGATCCCAGCCAGGAACTTCAGAACTGAGTAGGTCCTCAATAGATAAAGTAATGTGGAATAATATACATTTCTCATCGATATATGCATGTTTTATAGATATGGTAGGCATAACATGGATGTGAAGGGCAAGAAGGCAGAACATCAAATTCACTCAACTGTTTTCTAGTTCTCATAATGTGTGTTTTTGCTAGTCATTGTTTCTGTATAGAGCACCAAGAACAAACACTACACACGTGTGGGCTCGATCCTAATGCAATGTATACATTTAAAATTATTTTTTTAATCTAACATGTCTACTGGAACCGTCTTTGATACACCTACCAATAAAACCTGAAGAAGGAGGGTTGGGCTGTATCTTCTCTTTAGTGTTCTCCTGAATGATGTCCCAGAGCTGCCATATAAACTTTGGATGGAGGATGTAGAATGGCTGGGTTGGATTCTTCCTGCGATGCTGCACATAGGGAGTGAACAGATTGTAGTCTGGCTTCTTATACCACTGGGAGGAAAAAATGTTTTTCAATAGTATTAAACATGTTTTGAACACTACATGTACAATAGCATAAACTGGCTTCATTTGTGTTCTGCAGAACAGAAGCAAAGGTAGCAAAGCAGCCTGTATTGGAGGATGCTTCTTCTAGAAAGGCATTCCTCACTTTGGGCTATTCTGTTTCCTTTCTTCATACAGAGACTCCCAATAAGCAATTGACTGCTGTGGGATGAGCCAAGACCATTTTCCCCTCACATTAAAGAAGAGGTTCAAAGAGCTTTGACATGATATGTGGGCCTGGGGGTGAATCTTCCTCTGAAAGCATCCCTGTCCCTGTCGGAGGCAGCAGCAGCGCATGACGCAGCTGATGGCAGCCTGCGTGGGAAGCAGGCAGCCTCTGGCATCTGTTGCTAAGGGAGTTCAGCAGATGAAGGCTTACTTTCTACTTTGCAGCCTGCTCAGCTCCGAGCTCCCTGTGCCAAAAGCCATCAGATCAACTTGTCTACTGGAGCTGCAGCTACAGCCAAAGTAGAGACTCCCCCAGTGACAACCAGATGGACGTCTGCTGCTCTCAGTGAGGGGGTGGACAGCAGGGCACAGATGGCTGTGGGACAGTGGACATTAAGGGAAGGCTGGTGGGGAGGAGGCCTGAGAAATGGGGAAGGCACCCAGGAGAGATTTTCACTAGGATGTTGTATTTTGTTTGGGAAGGCAGTGGGGAAGATGGGGAAAAATGGATGCAGTTTTTCACCTTTCCTGACAAAACCTACTTGTGAAAAGTAGCAATGTCCCCTCCCTGGCAAGCGCACAGAAAACTCGCTGTTATGTGAAAATAGCAATGTTTTATCAAACAAAGGCCACCATTCATCTATTCTAGCATCTCAGAACAGTCCCTCCCAGTATAATTGCAGGCTACTAAAATGTTTTTGACCAATAAACCAATTCTGACCAATTCCTATAGACACAGAATTCTCCTTTCAGGTAGACAGAACCTGGGGTTCATGGTGAAAAGGGAGAACCAGGAGAGTAAAGCAGTAAATTAATTTTCTCCGGTACTTTCAAATAATTGTGAAGAAGAGTCTAAGTGGATATCTTACCACATTCAGATTTGCAGAGTAGGGAGCAGGATCCCAGGCTACTAAGATAACATCTTTATACAAGGAGCTGTCGACAAAGTGATGGTTTGGATTGGTGAGAATCTGCAAACACAGATGCAAAGAATTGCACAGCATTAAAAGAAAGTGGCATCCAGGAAAATGGCAAAACCCTTCTCTCAAGTGAACAGTCCTACCCACGCTGCTGTTTGTTATGCTTCGGTTCTGGTTGATTTTAAGCATCTTGTTTTGTTAAAAAAATATACAAAAAAAAAGCTTATCCATGAACAGCACTCATTACAGTTTGAAGTAGAAGTATGCTGAATTACTCTCCATCTGTGAAGGATGTGATAGGACCGCTTGAGATGCTGTGCTATTGTGTATCAACATTACCGTGCATTCTGGAACTTGAAAACGAAAGCTACAGTATTTCAGATTGCCTGTGGGATCCTCTTGGACACAGAGCAGCTTTCTTTGAAGTGCTACAGCCCCAAAGTGTAATATCTTTCTCTGCCACCCATCCCCAACCACCTTTTTCATGGCTTTCTCATTTTAACAGCAAGTCAGTGTCATTTCAATTAAAAAAAAATGCAAATTAGACCATGACTGTACAGATTGGAATACCTAGAAAAACAATTCCAACAACAGGTATGTTACAGGGCTATTTTTGAAGGAACTGTCATTTTGCTCTAATCTACTGCTCTCATATAACTCCTTCCTGCATCTCTCAGTACTTTGCGTGATCATCCCACCACACTGGAAGTCTACTCTTCACTCCTGCTGGCTCACCCCTTTCAGGACCCTCCATGTCTAACTAGATCTCTTTAATTCCTGGTGCATCCAATGCCAGGCAGTTCAACATTGCTCGAAACAGCATGGATTTTGTTCCAGCTGTTAAAATAATCAACATTCCAGACAAATAAATTCATAATAATTTTCATTTCCCTTTAGGATCCAATGAGCCATATTTAATTATGCATATTTTTCTTCAGAAAAATAATATTGTTGCTATAGCAATATTCTTCCTACCATAAACTTTGAGTTTAATGATTTCCATCAGCCTTCTACAGTAAGAACAGAATTAGTCATGCTGCTATCAGCATCCTCAATTTCTCAGAACAATTTTCAGCTCCAAATGTAAACTCCTTTTTTGAGTATACAGAGCAAATTGACCAAAAGACCAAGATTTTAAAAGTTTGGGTCCAAACTGACCACACAAAGGACCTTACTTGCCTTTCAGTAAGCAAGAGTCCTCTGGAGGTGTTGTCCACACAAATTTTGTTTTCAGTGAGTCTGCATTCATATGTATGAGGTTCTTTTCTGCAATAACAGTATCTGTTGCCACTGCACAGGCTTCCTTCATGTTCTTTGGGCTTTCACAGTGGAGAATATGAGGGAAGAAGGGGCCACAGCAGCCTTTTAATTAAGTGAATGCAGGAGTTTCCAACAATGAGGAGGGTCAGTAAACCTGTGCAGGTAACCCAGCTACAGTACAGGTAGGGAAAGCAACTTCCATCAAGTGGCCTGTGCAGATTTCGCCCTCAAAGAGGGAAAGGCTAACTTCTCAGCAGGTGGACACACTATCATGGGTGGCTTCTGACCTCTCTGAAGGAGCACAAAGCTGGTGGGAATACAAACACTTGTGAGGAAGCCATGTGAGCTGACCTGGCCAGAACTTTGCCATGCCCTCTGTTTTCTCGAGAGGTCTTATGGGGAGCAAGCCTTACACAGTGCAGAACAGAAGACCACATCCCAGTGGGAATGTACTGCAGCAGCCTGGGAGGCAGAAGACCCCAGTCTGCCCTGCATGGAGAGCAGCTAATTTAGCCATTTAATCTCTCTGAATTTGCTGGGGAGCTAAAAAAGCTCAGATCACTCCCTGAAACATTTCTCTCTTCTACAGGGAGCCTACTGAGTCTAGCAAATATAAAGAGTTTCTAAACCTTTCTCCTTGCCCAGTTCAGGACTTCAGGCATGGTCAATGTCAGGACATTTTGGCTAACAGTAAGATGGAGAATCATCAAAGAAAAGGAAAAAACCCCACCAAAATAAAAAAAAGTAAAAGAAAATACATGAAAATCCATGTTCCCTGATACACTGATTACAGCACTTAAGGCAGAATAAGATATTTCTGCTTTCTTCCTGCGAACAAAAGAAAGGAGGCACATTTAACCCAAATCACTTAAAAGATCTAGTCTGTTCTGCAGCCCCACAAAGACCTACAAAATGAGTGTGAAGAGAATGACAGTGAACAGTCCTCTTTCTGATGGCAAAGAACTTGAGCTTATACACATAAATCACACCCACCAAGAACAGACTTAGCATGGGCAGTCACTCAACGAAGAAAAAATGAACTCATAAAAATTACAGTAACTGAAAATTTTGCTCTCCTTCAACATGAATCAGTATGTCAAGAGCATGCTACATGGCCAACCATACACCTGGTTTTGACTAAGTAAGCTCATTTCAGTATGTCATAAAATTTCACAAAAATTCTGTTGCTGATTTTTGCCTGCATTTCAAAAAGAGGAAAGAGTCTTGGTTTGCCCAAGACACGAATAGCATTTTTGAAATTGAAAAACTAATCTCAACCATAAGGTGTCACTGTAGCTCAAGTCACATTTATTTACACCCATCCCCAGAAAATCTCATTTTCTCTTGTTTCTATTCAGATGAACAAACTCACCTGATGTGTAATACCCAGTACACACTAAAGTTTTTTTACTAGTTCTTTCCAAATTTTTAAACAATAATGACTTGCCTAGTGTTATGCAACTCAGTTCCCATTTCTTTTGCCTTCCAGCAAGGAAATAATTGGGGAACTGGAAAATATGAGAAAACAGCTTTGGAATCACCACAGCCTGAACTTTGTGAAAATCCTGGAGGCAATGGTTTCTCCAGGAGGTCAAGGTCTTCTGTACTGACAGCTCTCTGGCATCCTGCAGAGCCTTTACAGATCAGTTCACATGAGAAACTTTACAAACCGGTTCTCTGAAACGAGGCTGTCAAGTCACTCTACACTGACAGCAGTACAAACATCCCTGTAAGGGAAAACTTTCACCTCCTCTACATCACAACTGTGGAATCCAGTCACCATATTACCAACACTTTTTCAGAGGTTATTAAATTGCTGTCATATTGTACAGAAGAGACATTGACTTGAACTCTGAAAAGTGAGATCTTACCTGAGAATTAATGATCCGCATGGTTGTTTTATTTCCAACATCTTTTTCATAGCCACGTGTTGGAGCAGAATTAAATCTTAAAACAGCATCATGAGAATCTAGGAGCATAAATGAGGGGTAACTCTTTTTTCTTAGTATGCAGAACAGTAAAATAAAATCAGTTATCTAAACTAATACAAAACTTACACATTTGTCCTAATCTGGATATTCTAAGGATGATGAATACTCTGCTACGCACAAATAAAAATCCTCTTGCATCTGCCATATGTTATTAATATAAAAGCCCACTGGGAAAAAAGTTCAGATTCATCTATTAATTTAGCATGCAATACTTAAATGCTTCTCTTAATTGGATAGACTTAGTGTGGGAAGACTATTAGTACACCCAATACACACAATTGCTCACTACTTCTATCACAAAATTTACAGAGAATTACTCCATGCAAAAGCATGTAAACTGCAGGGATATCTAATTGCACATTTGAATGAACAACAATGCTTAACTATAAGCTTGTGTTTCACAGTATTTTACAATACCTGAAAATCTCAGGCTACCCCAAATCTATTAATCATACTGTGTACTTATTCTCAAACTCAGTACAAATCTTAAAGAGCCTCTGTATGGAAGCCAGCTCACACATCTGCTCGCACAAAGAAACCTCAGGATCCCTTGGTAGCAAAGATCTAACAGAGCTGAACTGTCAAAGTTACTCCACAAGCTGTTGACCTTGGAGTCATGGAGAAGAGGAAGCAGCACTAGGTCAAGTATGGGTCAAGGGTAGACACCACGTGCAAGCCTCCATTGGATAAGAGATAATCACCCTCCCAGTGCTTCTTTTAAGGGGATCTCAAAGCCCAAAATGTGCAAAGGAGAGCAGGACATTTTATCCACTGTTCAGAAACACAGAGCCCCTGTTGGCAGCCTTGTATTTGTTCTGTTTTTATCCGTTCTAGCAATGGAAGTTGAGAATATGATTCAGGCCAAAATGGGCACGAAATGCCTTAACCCACAGGTAGTTTGTACAGCTGTTCATCTCTAGTCACTTAAAATGTGTTGTCTGTAGCTCAAAAACTGGAGGAGGGAAAAGTCTCCAAAGATAACCTACATGCCTCAATGGAGTCTTGGCTTGATCCTGTCAAACTGGGATCTTTCATCTTTTCCCTCCCTTACTCTGCACTTCTTGTACTCCACACAGGGAAACACTGTGTGCCAGCAGCCAGCAGTCTGATCTCAGACATACACATTATCATGAAAAGAGGGATTTTGCCAGATGCCCACCAAACCAAACTCCTCAGAACCTAAGGAGTGGAAATTTTTTCTTTGTCCCCATGCAGGGACAACCCTAGCCTCAACAATTAGACTTCATCTACCAAGCATCTTGATTCTGCAGGACCTAGAAGAAATTAATAGAAGCTGCAGGTGCTTCACATATTTGGAGAAGGAAAAGAAAAATGCAAGTTCGTTGTAATGAATTTCAGAACATAAATTTTGGACCGGTGACTGACAACTTTTAGACAATCTGTTGATTGAGAACTGGATTATGAAATGAGAATTGTATGGTTTGCAGCTTGAGAGACAGTGTGATGCATTTCCAACTTCGCTCATGCTGGTTCTTCGTACACAGATAAAAAACTTCTTTGCCAAAAATATATCACCAGGACACAGCTTAACACTGATAATAGCTGGTCTTAAATAAATCTTAGTATGTGTTTGTAGATAAACATTCTAAAGATCAAAAGTTTGGGGTTTGATCACAGATCCCTGTTACTTCCTGTGATGCCAAAATAATTGATTATCTCAATTAATGGCATGATCACGATGAGGTGTTTGCTATACTTGCACAGTATTTCCATGCCTACTTTTATTTAAAAAGAGTCAGACGGGTGGGGGAGAGGAGGGCAAAAGGCAGAACACAAATTAACATTTTTGCTTGTGTTTCTAATAGGAACACAGAAGGGGGAGCTAAAGACCTATGAAGGGAAATGTCCTTCGCTACTTCTTTCATAGGAGGTTTTTTTTCCTCTTGGGAGAATAAACCATAGAATCACAGAATTGTTTGGGTGGGGAGGGACCTTAAAGACCATCCAGTTCCAGCCATCCTTCAATGAGCAGGAACACTTCCACTAGACCAGGTTAATTAGAGTTCCATCCAACCCAGCCTTGAACATTTCCAGGGATGGGGCACCCACAATTTCTCTGGACAATCTGTTCCAGTGCCTCACCACTCTCACTGTAAAGAATTTCTTCTTAACATCTAATCTAAGCCTCCTCTTTTTTAGCTTAAAATCGCTCTCCCTTGTCTACCATTGCTGTAAGCAGTCTCTTGGCCCCCCCCACAGTCTGGGCCAAATCCTCTCTTCAGTCACAAGTATCTGCCCACAGCCTGAGAGACTCAGAAAAAACCTTCTGTGATTCCTGGTGCCCCAACACTTCCTTCCACAACATGTTTGAGATCTGAAAATTCTATGTCGGCTTTTTCAAACCAAATCTTCCTCCCTTTAGGTGGCATCCGATGACAATTTCCCATTTAAATCCAATGCTCTTCTGAAGAAAGTGGCCAGAAAGTGGCAAGATTCTGTGCCCAGAATCTTCCTAAGACAATGGGTACACACAGGAGCAAGCAGGCCCCAGGCACCATGTCAAGCATCCAGGTCCATACCTAGGCTGCACCTGAGTGTGCAAATATGACTTGAAGCATGCTGCAATATGCAATTAAGTAAATAGTCAAAATGTGCTAGATTCTACAGTACAGCACTAATCCATACTGGTGTAATCTGGGTGTCCTGCTGAACGCTGGCAGAAGATTCTGTTTCAGTCAAAGATAACATGTTGGAGAAGGTAGGAACTGCTAAGCTTTTTCACCCCAAAGATTTCTAAATCAGTGAGGCTTTGGAATTGGAGAATTGAGGGTTACCCTGGTGTGATTTTAGCTGCAGGCTAGCTGGGTACCTCTGCTGGGCTGGAAGCCTATTGCAGTAGTTTGATAATCCTAGCAGCTCCAACATATCCCAGAGATTTAAAGAAAACCTATCTATGTCAAGGAGATGATACAGAGTGATGAAGCAAGTACTGGGATGTGAAGTCCTGGAAGATGGGGAGGATTAATGAGTGAACATCAAAAGGTTTTTTATAGAGAGCTGAAGGAGATAGCTCTTCTTGTTTCAGAAACAAGTTTGAGACATACCTTTCATCCTTCTTCCAACACTCTTAGCACACTGGACATTTACTAATAAAATGAAGAATTACTGAGATATTAACAGAAGTAGTAGTAATTTTTGAAAAGAAAAAATAAAAGTGACATGGATTAGTTTTATGGTCCCACGACTCTTTCCTGAATAGCTACTAAAAATCTCCCACTTTGAGGTGGGAGATTCTGAGTGACACTGACATTTCAGCATACCTGTAACCTCACTGACTTAGTGTAGCAAGGGGAAAACAATGGGTGAACATACTTGAACTCATTTAAATTCAGTCTCAGAAAAGAGGTCAGGGGAATTGATCTCAGTGCATGAAGCTACTCAAGGGTCTGAATTCTTTATGTCTGTGAACTCTAAACCAGCAAGAGATGAAGAGGACACTCTACTGCTTCTTGACATGGAGACAAATGCCTGAAACAGCCATAGAACAGCAGTTTCTCATGAGCTACTGCAAAATAAAGATCAGTTATAACACAGCTTTGCAGAATAAAATCTGAATGTGGCTCTAATCTGCTGAAGAAATAAGTGCATGTTGCACACAAACGTTGAATATGGCAGATCTGATGAAACCAGTGCCACCTCCCTACTACAAGCTGCAATATGATAAGTAGGCATCATTGTTTTCTTTAAATTAAATTGCAACTTCAGGTTTGATTTTCCTTTCAGTTATTTTGTTCTGAAAGGGAACAGCCTCACTGAAGTCCATTAGTTTACATTCATGCAACTCTAGTAAGAGAGAATAACTACAGATTTGTGCTTGAGAAGCAAGAACCTTTTGGAATTTAAACACGAACACACATATACACATATATATACACTCATAAATAGATGCATTTCACCCACCTATTTCGTCCCCTAGAGAGGAGTTCAGTATTGCACCAGCAGACATAACTACTGCACAGCTCCCAAAGCCATGTGTATATAATTTGCCCAGTGGAATCTGGGGAACGTGCTTTTCCCATCCAAGAGTGGAGAAGGGAGCCTCCTTGCCATCTATTGTTTTCACATTCACTCTTTCTTTTAGCTCACAGAATAGCTGGTCTCCTGTCAACTTGGAGTTTCGTTTCCCCTTGAACCGCACCCCATGCTTATTGGTACTCAAATAATCTTTCATCGCCTTCTGCAGTCGAGGGTTTAGCATCTTGGAAGAGACATCCCCTTTCCAAAGCTTGTAAAGAAAGGATTTCGACATTGTGGAATACAGCCCATCCCAGTCATCAGATTCATCAAGCATCTGGCCTCTCCTATGCTTTGTGCTCCTTCTCCTCATTCTTCTCTGATGGCTCCAGTTGTTCTGTAAAATATTTCCTTTTGGATTATTCATGTCAGCTGAAATGAATTTTTCTATCTCTTCAAGGTGGTTGTGTGATGGCTGACCAGCAGCAAATAAATAATCATCATTCCCTTGGTAGAAAGCACTTTTTGATTTTCTTCCTAACTGGGGTGGAAAAAACTCATCTTCATTTCTAAAGGCCTCTTCCAATACAGTCCATTTCTTAGAATTTCCAGTCCCTGACTTAAAAGTACCCAGGAGATCTTCATTAAGAAGTACCTCATTCCCATCGATGGTTTCAGAGAAGGATGGGTCATGAATGGCTCCCATGATGACTCTCTGCTTGCCCTGAAGGGGCAGAAGTCTCTTAGTTTCAATGTAAGAAAAGGAACTTGGAACTGGTTCAGCAGTGTTGCTATCTGTAAAATAGATGAATATCACCAAGAAGAGTAGGCCCCATGCAAAGATACCAAAGAGCATGAGTTGTTTCCATTGCTTCAAGTTCGGTTTCATGGCAATGCCTTTACCAGCTCCTCTGTGCCTTGAAGTATTGGTGAAGGAAAATGAAACCTGTAAATAACATCAAACGCTATTAAAAATCGTTCTAAAAATAAATACAACTCAGAAATATCTTAACACATATTGATAGATGGTGCAGAATTAATCTCCAAGCAGTAGTACAAAGGATTCAGCAGCAGAAGCAGAACTCCAGAGCCCGCAGACACTGTAGGAGTGACAGGCTTTGGCTGTAACCACACCGTGACAGCTGCTAGCTACAAAAGAAGCTGGTGGCCAGTTTCTACAGTAACACTGGATGCTGCCTTCAGGGAGATCATGTGCCTGCCTGCTTCTGCTATACCGAGTGCAGCATTAAGAGTGCAAAAGCAAAACCCGTGCCTGGCTGCATGCACAGTGGGTACAATATAAGCTGTCCTCTCTTTAGCACCGAAGTCCTTATGCAGGGGAGCTGTGAGCAAGCCTGTCTCCAAAGGGACCAGGAAGGGGGCACAAGCTCTAAGCTGCAGCCCTCCTCTGCCCACAGCCTGGAAAGAACGGTGCTCTGTGCTTATCATCAGGGGGTGAAGGGGAGAGCATCACACAAATGGGTCAGAGGGGAACCTCTTCCTCAGCTGGTATGAACTGGCACAGCCCCAGTGGCTACATCATTTGTTGCCTAGTACCAGACCCGAATAAGAACAACTCCTGTACCTCTGCTGTGGGTGCTGCATGCACACTGAAGTGGCATGAAGGAGTTGTGCACATAGAGGTGCCACGGGTTTTGCATTTTCCAAAAAGGAGAATGGGTGTCACAGCTATCTAATTACATTCCTTCGGGATAAGACAGAGATTTACATAAAGGGAGTGGGTAGGGAATGTCAGACCTAGTCCTGGAAATATGTGCCCTACTAGTACCTGGGGGGTTTGGACAGCTTATGCATTAGTGGAGGGATGCACGGTCCAAATGAAACAGTTTGACGGAGGGGGCTGTGTTCCAAGGAAAATACATAACACATTGCTAGACCACTGAGCACACTATGCCCTTACACGAACTCACTTGCTTAATCAAGCGGTGTGACTATCAGTTACAAGCCTGACTGAAGCAAATCTCCACCAGAAACCTTACCATTCACCTCCCTGCACCACAGTCATCATCAGCCTCAGTTGCTACACCGCAGTGTAACTCAGTGTACTAATTAGTGACAGATCACTCACCTGATCTGAATTAAAAATAAGCCAAGCCCCTTCTTGTGGAATTTTGTTTCTAACCCAGTTGTTTCAATGACCACTTCACGGTGGGACTTTAGAGCCACAAAGAGGAACGGGAACAGGGGCAAGCTTGGATTTCATTACCAGCCTGTGCCTCGGGAGCCACCACCTCATCACATCACATCCGAACAGCACACACAGCTTACGTGCCTGTGATAACACTCTCTGCCTGCTCACACTGCCCATCAGGAGGGACCAAAACCACAGTCACCACATGCTATCACCTTTCTGCAAGCTGCTAAAGTACATCAAAGCTGAGTGCAAAGTTTAAACCGAAGCTGTAACTAAGACTTTGTTTCCACATGAAAAAGAACCCAGCAGTAACACCAGTGTAAGATGTTCTCTTCTCTTCTCTGTCCTTCATTCCTGCACTGTGCCTTTGCTGTTGCCAACACCCCGGTGTATGCAATTGATACAGCAGGGGAAATACATGTTAAAGGGTTGGTGGGTTTTTTTGGCTTTGTATTTTTTTTTCTTTAAACTGTGTCAGCTCCTTTATCCACTTCAGGGTGGTCACATCCAGTTGTTTCAGCACAAATGGGGAAATGCCTACCACAATGCAGAGGCGAGAACAAACCGCAGGTGGTGTTAGCAGAGATACCTCAGGCTGCGTTTCTGCTGACCTCCTGAGAATGTGAGACCACACTATTACATTTCCAAACATAGTCTATTTTAATGATCTAGACAAAGCCTAGAACATTAGACAAAGACAGCTGACTTTGGGGCTCGAGGCAGTGTCCAAACAGAAGGAGGATTCATAAAGTTAAGCTTTGATGACCAAATTTCATTGCAATTTCTACTACACAGGAAAAAAAAAATCATGACTGCGATAACCCAGTGCTCCACATACGTTTGGTTTGGCTCACACAAACCACATGGAAGAAAGCAATTACTCCAACTGACCCATTTCCTACTTGCACTCTGCTACTGCAAGATTGCTCTCTGCAGTACCTCGACACTCCCACACCTTCCAATTTTAAATCACTGCAGGTGATGTCCTGTGGGAGTTGCCTTACAGTATATGGCTGTTGTGCAAGTTAGGTCTGCCCTGAAGTTATTGCAACCTGCCCACTCATCAGTGTTCAGATGGTTCACATTTTAAAATCAGCATTCTTCACCCATCTGAACTGCTTTCATCTCTTTTTATCATTTTCCCTGATGTGTTTCCCCAGCACTTTTCAACATGTGGCTTCCAAAACACTGTGTAAGTTAGTCTTTGCTCAGTCAGATGTTTCTCCTGCTGAATATACATTTCTTACAGGATCTGCAATGGAAGCATGTCACATGATCTTCTTAACAGATAAGCTTGCAGGAAGTCAAAGTCATAAAGGAAGAGGTCACTAATATTTTCCACTGAATCACGTAGAAAGTCCAGACACAATTTAATCTATAACACAACCGTACAATTTGCTCATTCCCTCCCTCCAAGTTTTGTTGTATCTTATAACCAGAAGTTGCTAAGAAATAGGAAGGTTTAGCCTTAAGTCAGGTGCGAGACTACAAATTTCTAATTGTCTGTGATCATAAGTGTTTGGCACAGCAGATTGCCTCAGCATAAAATGTCAAGACTCAGTATTCAGGTTACAATCTCAAAAAGGACGGAGATGTATTATTAATTATTTTTAAATTATAGCAAACAAAAATGTGCCCCCTCCAAGCCCTCCACAACACTTATGTCATGAAAGCACACTCAGCTTGGTCAGCATGCACATATAGGCATGCATATGATTAGCTTCTTTGTGCAGCAAAAAAATACCCACATAAAACAAAAAACAGCATCCAACAGTATATTTGTCAACACTACAAGTAGAAGGAGAAGCACCAGTGAGAATAAATCCAAAAACTTTACACATTAACTACTGCAGAAGCTTATCTGCAATTCCTCGTTGCAAGTGGGGCCTCAGAAAGGATACCCAAATCTCTTGAAGACCGGAGCTATGCAGGCAAATCTCTGTGCTGCTTTAATGTTCTTTTGCTCACAAGAAATGTCTTGTCCTCCAGCAGTACAGCTGAGCTGGAAGCAAATTCAAGGTCATTACTGTATTAGTTACAAGAGGATCTCTACAACCTCACAGGATTTTGAAGGCTGTGTGTCGAAAGCTGCACTAAGTTCAGAGAAATATCAGTTTATCTTATCTCCCTCTACACTAAACATCCAGTCCTCTCCCCATCAGCCTTTGCAGCTTCACACACCTCAGAGTCCCTGGCTTTGAAAATGTTTGGGAGGAGAGGGCAGCCCTTCCACACGCTCCCCACTGCCCTCCTGCTGGCAGCAGACCCCTCCGCTGCTCAAGGGGGCATCTTCCTCAGCAACATCTTGGATTCCTGCCCTGTGCTGCCTTCAGCAGCACACCTCAATTGCAAAGAGAAAAGCATTTGTGTAGGAAACCAGAAATGATGATTGCAACAAATTACACTGGCTAAATAAATAAAAAGAGGTGGTTTCATGCGTGCAATTACTGAAGTCCACTGGATGCTTCAGGAATAAGCTTCCATCTCTTTTATCTATGCTCAACATACAGCTTTTAAACTGTTAAGGCAATTCTACACAAGTTTTTAAATTACCATTAGCATTTCCTATTGTCTCCAACTTCACCCCCCTACTGTAATAATCCTTCCTACTTACAGACTGCTGGAGTCAAAGCTGCTGCAGAGGAGGAGCAGAGGAATAAGTCTACCCTGGGGGAAACAACCCAGCTTCCTCTTCAGCAGAAGTGATAAGCCTGTTTTGCCCCAGAGGCTGAAGATCTCATTTTCCTATGTATCTCCCTTCTGATGGGCTCCTTCAATCATTAACTGATTTAAGTTCCAACTACCATATGGAGAATGGCTTTTCTCCTTTCCCAGTCTGGTCATTCACACAAAAGCCCTGGAAAACATGAGGCAAGGTACAAACCAGTGAAGTGGGCAGAAAGAGAAGACTTACTTATTTGCTTAATAGAAGTATTAGCAACAGCTATGAAAAAGGCAAATCCCAATGGTATCTTTGAGGCATCCCAGGAAATAAAGGCAACTCCCCAGTGGAAATTAAAGGCTGATTTTCCAGAAGCAGCACCCACTTGTGGGAAATTTCATCTTGCCATGCTAAGATGCAAGAAACCAAAGAGTTCCCCTTCCCTTTATAAAGCCCATTGTTTTGCAACAAGGAGCACTTTTCATTTTTCGAAAGTAGGCCTCCTGACTATTTCTTAAATGAGAAGAGATGGATAAGGGAGATTTTTTTAATTCCTTTGAAACATTCCTTCCTTTCAACACTGTCTATTGTTAAAATTAATTTGTACAGACCCTGGCAGCTCAGAGGTCAGGATGGTTCAAGTTGATGTGCTAAGATGTGCACTGTTATGTTAAACAGGGTTTTTCTTGGCTGCAGCTTTGCAGCGAAGGTCACCATGGGGTTATTTGGGGTAGCAAATGTTAGCTGTGGGCAACCATTCCCAAAGGGCTGAGAATCAGACCAGGGTTTATTTGATGGAAAGCTTAGGCAGCCTGAACAGATAGCAAATGTTCTGTTAGTTTGCTTCATCTCTTAGTCAGCTAATTCCAGAGTATTAAGAAACCTCTGGCATAGGGCAGGACAGCTGGAGGCTGCATTTCCAGGGTGGGGAATAGACTCGTCCTCTCATGTGGAAAGTGCCAAATTGGTTTTAGTGTTATCACATCATTTCTGTGGTGGAAGCCATACAGTAGGCAGCAACAGATAGGCAAGCCTGTGGGGAATGGTGACTGCCAGAAGATGTATATTAGTCTGTGGATGGCCAGCA